CCTCCAATAAAAACGATGTAGGTATACCTACCTTACCTACAGGTACTTATTTACGTTCCTTTAAATATTTTGAGGATGATGAGAGGAACAAGGGAAACGCATACCAGATACTTATTGATGGTCTAATAATAGAAATTTTGAGTTTTTTTATCTTGTTGAAAAGTTTCCGTCGACCGTTTTCGCGGTGTTAAGAAATAACGCAAGCAGCAAGCGCAGTTTTGAAGAAAGGTTAAAAAGTACAATTTTTTTTTAAACACAATGATTTATCATTTCTTCCAAACCATATTATACTGCAGCGACAGGGTGAGTGAACTGAAACGAGTGCCTGCTGACGCCAGCGGTCCCATTTACGTTTTTTGTGAAACAACTGAAAAATTTGATATCATCTGAAGTACAATTTACTATATTTTATAGAGCGACTTTTCACGAAAGTTTTGTCTATCCGAAAATGAGTTAATCTCCGAAGAAACGCGTACGAAACTTATGAAACCATCCACTTGCATATCCCTTGCTATCGCCTGTAAACAACTTTTCGTTAGTCATTACACCATATTATCACCAGGTACTTTAGAGAAGAACCGATTTCCAATTTGAATTCAAGACTTATGTCCAATATTATATATGAATATCATATTATGTGCATTATAGACTATCTCTAGGTGTATAATTTATTATTATTATGTCACACACAATACTACAACCATAGGTACTTCACTGCTGCAGTCTACAGCAATACAATATCACCCGAGACATCAGATAGATCGCGATTTCGTTAGTTTTATCGAATCGCATTTTCTCATCCGTGGAATACTGTGCACGCACGTCAATCTATACCTTAAGGTGGTCGATTAGTGATTTGTCAAATTCTCGAGAATATTCCCAACACCGGGAATTTCCCAGGAATATAATACGTTTCTAAATATTGATCATAATTCATAGGTTTCAGTTTTAAATTAAACTTATGGATGTAAATGATCCAAACGACAGCTCTTTATTGATATTATGTTAGTTTAGATATCTGTACAATGATCACAAAATAAACGATCCAACTTTCATTTATTATGTTGAAAAAATAAAAATAAATACACTGAAATTGATATACTGAATAACATAAAAATAATAATTTTTTTTTTTTTAAAGAAATTTCCCGAGAGGTTGGAGAATATTCCCTATTCCCGGGAACATTCCTTGGGGAATATTCCTAATGGCACATCACTAGGTCGATATAAATAACCGATACGGACGTATGCTATTGTATAGCGTGTCTTATTATTGTTATTACAACTATAAGCGATTGCGATATAATTATTATTAATAATATGACATGCAATATCGCATACGAAATTCTTATATTTTCGCTGACGGAAAAAACCAAGTACCTACCTATTAACCAGCGAGAACACGACATAATTTCTATCCTCGACGGAGAGTCTCAAATTGTACCTAAGCTCGCGAAATCTCGTGAGTATTAAATTATAATGTATTTCAACGTAGACGCGCACAGAGGTTTTCACACATTTATTATTGCTATACGTGTACCTCTATGACACCCTCAGAAGACATGCAAAATCAGTGGAGAGAAAACTCTAAACTCTCGGTATAACGAGTAACGATCGCAGAAAGTCGTATGTTATATGACCTCCACAGTGGAGGAAAAACATTCTGAACGGATACGTTGTATCAGCCTAGCACACTTGCATAAATCATCAAATTTAGTAGTTAAAAGTAAATTAACAAATATCGAAATCGTGACCTGCCGGGGAACTTTTTTAGTTTGATAGAGGTACAAAAATTGTTGGAAACAACTATATTTTAATTTAAGTAGGTATAGCCGCATAATAGGTAGTAAAATTGACAACAAATGAAGGTATAAAAATATATAAATGATATTTTTTTTTCTCATTAACTTAACTTTTTCATATCTACAAAAGCGGGGCCTGTCCAACTGGTGAAGGAGCGGGGCCCAGGGCGAGGGCCCCGCTAGCCCTGCCCTAGGGACGGCCCTGCGGCTTCACTCGAGCTATGTAACGGCGGTGGAGGCCCTGAAAAATATTACCCAACGAAAAATATTTACATCGCTGTACCTCCGCAACCGGTCATGTCATACCCACACAGGACTTCGGCTTGCGGCTGCGACCCGATCGAGTACAGATTTCATTTTTCAAGACCCGCTTGAGCACAGATGCGATCAAACAATATATAGGAATCCGATTAATCCGAAATACGATACGATTGAGCACGGACAGAAAAAATAAATGGTGACATTTCGACACAGTGGCACAGTGGCCCAAATCGTCGCCGACCGGTCCTGAATCGTTCCTGGTTTCTTGCACGACTCGAATATTTATAATTCCTCAGGAAAATTCAATAATTTTAAATGCAATTTATAACATTTTCCCTGTAATGATCTATTCCTAAAATAGATTGGATGCACACAATACTCTCTATTTCTCTTCTTCTTCTTCATTATCTTCATAATCCTTCTACTACGTTGTATTAACGCAATAATAACATTTCTAGACAACATTTTTAAGCGAAAAACCTAATATAGCGACTGTTCTCGTCAAAGTTGAATAATTTTAATATTCCAATCAATTTCTAAAAGATTAAAATAGGACGATAACCTTACCTCCTATAACCAAAATGTATACTTGCTAGGTGAGAAAAAAAGCAATATTAAATAATACTCACGTTTATTGGTAGTTTAGAAAACTTTTTACAAAAAAGTTATAACCATCGCCATTAAGGTAATTCATGATTTTTCGCTTTAAAAATAATATTAAAACTGAAACCAGCACCAATCATAGAATTTAATTTTAAGCGTATTTCGTTAAAATAACATTAAACAATAAAAATTACCACAATGTGTTATATCTAATATTATTATATTATCTTATATCATTATATTTATTATATAACGCTAAACGTCTATTAACGAAGCCAGGAAAGAAACATGGTTAAAGTTGATTATAAAAAGGTTTTTGTAAGACAATATAATATGTATATTGTATATAGTTATTTTGGTGAGTATAAAACCTTGTCGGGCCGTCTACTCTTTCGACTTTAAGGGCGTCGACGGAATCGTTGTGTTAAAGTTTTGTTTGTCGTCGAGCATAAAATACTATATTCGCGAAAAATATTTAAGTATTTAGTATACCTGTTTATACAATTATACCTTAGTAGTTAGTATAGATGTCATCTTCATATCACTTTCAATACATGGGTTCTTCTGTCTTCATATATAATGTATACAATCTTATGTCAGTATAGACTATAGGTACACGATACTCCTCGGTTAAGACTCAAATGTCTCAAACATGGGGGTTCTCACGGGGGGGATATGGGGTTTAGATCCCCCCTCACCCAAGGATCTTTATTTTCTTACATATTAGTAATACACGTTTTGTAATACATGAAAATAGCAAAGAGAAAATGTACTTTTTATATTTTACCTAACGTGCAATTGTGTATATTATTATTTATTATATTATATATATGTGCCATCTCTTACTCTTTTAATATAAAATAAAACTGTTAGGTAGCATAAAAAGTTTTGACGTTTTTAGTATGATATTCAAACATTTTAAACTATAAACGGTAACAAAAAATAATCATTTTAATCCGTTTGCATTATAAGCAGAAAAAAAATGTAATTTTAAATAATTATGATTTTATAAAATTCACGAACCTAAGCCCTTCGATTATCAAATTATTAATATTATTTTTCAGTCTCATATTTTTTTTTGATAAATTAGGTTACATTAAATACTTGGCCTATATTATAGATGTCGCTTCAATCTACAGTGTGGAAACTGCGTATATCCACGTCATTATATACCTAATATATACGCGTCTCTAGTTTGTACTTAGGTGCAGATGAGGCATATACTGAGTACATACGCTAAAAGCTCGTTTTCGGTGTAACCCATCCCTTAACCGAGTAATATTATATACGAAAGAGGTAAACCCAATACGCACACACACACACCGTAATATAATAATGTACATAGTATATTATACTAAACCGAGCGGTATAAAAGCGAACTTTCCGTCGTTGTCCTTTTGAAATCGCTTTTCGCTTTGCCACCGCTGCCGATGCCTATATATAGGTAGGTCGTAGGTATACATCGTGTAGCATATTATTATACCAGACTATACCCGAGCAGTTGCTGTCGAAAGCGGTTTTAAGGGTGTACCGCAGCCGCCACCGAACCCGCGTTTTATTAAAAACTCATGCCAAAACCCCTGCTGCAGATACGGCGACCGGATCGTTTCTAAAATATATCGAATACGCAATATTATAATATGTATATAAATATATTATTATATAATGTGCAAAACTATAACGTGACGAAATGACGAATATTATGTTCCGTCACAAGTGTTTAGATTCACACTGTATACTGCACTGTACACGATAATATATATCTAACCGTATAGGTAGGTATATAATATTATGCGGTGACGTGTACTTATCATAAAAAAATGTGTATCGCTCAAATCATTTTAGGAGACCTATCACTAGTAATATTGTCAAATATATACCAACCCGTAAAATGTCCTTTTTAACTTCTATTAATACCCACCCACCCACATTTAAGGTGTTTCCTCAGCAACACCACGCTTGGACCCTATGTTACACGCCGCTGGTTTATACTGTATATTATATTGTACATGATATTACAATACTAGGTACATAATTAACTATTAAGTCGTTATCGAAATTGCATTACCTACCTAAACAGTAAATATAATAGTAATATATCAGAACTCAGGTCGGTGCCACTAAATATCTACCTTAATATTAAATATTATACATTATAGGCACACGTAGGGGAAGGTTTTTAGGGGACTTTACCAAGTCCCATTCATAATTTTGTACACATTATATTCTCTGGTATAATAATATCGGTTCTCCCCTCAACAATAAATGTTTCTGATATTTTGAACATTATATAATATTATGAACTATGTATACTTATCACGTGTGACGGTCGCAGGTGGGACCGGTGAACAAGTCGAAGGAGAAGAAGAAGTCACACCGGAAGGTGACCAAGCTGGTGTTGACGGTGATTACGGTGTACGTGCTGTGCTGGCTGCCGTACTGGATCACGCAGGTGGCGCTGATATTCACGCCGCCCAAACAGTGTCAGTCCAAGATCGTCATCACGATATTCCTGTTGGCCGGCTGCTTGAGCTACAGCAACAGCGCCATGAACCCGATCCTGTACGCGTTCCTCAGCGACAACTTCAAGAAGAGCTTCCTCAAGGCGTGCACGTGCGCTGCCGGCAAGGACGTGAACGCGGGCCTGCACCAGGAGAACAGCACGTTCCCGCGTCGGAACCGCGGCGGTTCGGAGCGCGGCGGCGGCCGGACCGGGCGGGCCACCACCATACTGTGCCAGGCGGTCAGCGGCGGTGTCGGCGGCGGCGGAGCGGGCGGTTGCTGCAAGGACGACGACGGCGGGTGTTGCGGCGAGACGGGACCACTTGTCGGGCGAGCCGAGCTGGTCAGCAAGGAGAACACGTCCACCGCGCTCACCATGACGTCCAGGTCCACGTGCAACGACAATAACGTGCAACCCGCCCAGTTGTAACGGCTGCTGCAGTTGGATATGATATTATTTTTTTTTACATCGTAAATTTCTACGCACTATATTATTATATAAATACCTATACCTATTAAAACATGACAACCTATTCCTTTTTATACGATACATACATAATAATAATAATAATAATAATAATAATTAATAAGAATAATAAAAATATTAGCTATACACTATAATAGGTAGACACTAAAAAAATAATGTTATATACTATAGAATCTATATAGGGTATTAGGTCCCTATATAATATATTATATATATCTACCCCGTTCCCTAAAGATGTACGTACCTACAGCGACCATACCTATTTATAGTTTATACAATTATACATAGGTAACTATAATATATTTATAACTATAATAATAGTCATAACTCACATAATTATTACCTATGCCTACTATTATTTCATTATTTTACATAGGTACCTATTATAATTAATAGTTGTATTGATGCGGTATCAATGTATCATCGAGTTTAAGGGGAAACAGCCAACGAGACTTTCGTTTTTTATTATTTCTCATATTATAATGTAATATGCCTCTTACCAACTTTTCAATGATAGCTATTTCGAATAAAATATGTTTATGAATATGTATATGGTATATCATTCTTATACCGAATTTACCATGATACAGGATATGTCCATAAAGGTACCCACCTAACATGGGCATATGGCCATATCTTGTATAGAGTATACACTATCTATATAACTATATAAGTATAGGTATCTTATACATTTCTCTTGAACGTTGTCGTGCACGTAGATACATATACCTAGGCTTAGCCATTACACGAAGTGATTTTACGATATGCACCAATTTCACGTCATAATATGTTCTATAAGTCCTAACATATTATATAAGTAAGTATGTGTAATGCGTGTATTTTAAAGGAAAAGATATTGAAAAAGTTGTTTTGGTAAAATCGATTATCATAAATTATGGTAACATAAATATACAAAAAGAAACTTTCAATGGCGAGTGTTTTGTCGTTATATTGTAATACCTACCTTTATAATATATTTATTTTTATTTTTATTTTATTTAAATTAATATAATTAATATACCTACACTATTATATAGTGCCTTTATTTATTTATGCTGTAACTATATACTCCGTTCCACGAGAGAATAGGAACTCGTTTCGCGATGTCACCTACTGCGTTTAACGACCTGGGTCACTATTTCCCCTAATCAAACATTGTTTGTGTAGTTGTTGTAGTGCTATAAACAACACTGTTGCCCGGAATGTTTGAGTGAGAGAAATAGTGTTCCAGGTCGTTAAACGCAGTCAGTTATATCGCGAAACGAGTTCCTATTCTCTCTTGGAACGAAGTATCTATATAATAAGTGTCGGTCTGGCTCACTGTTTTGTCTCCAGCACAATAACTTTCAACGGGCGCTGTAGGCAGTGGCGTCATTTCAGTTTCCAGTAGAGGGGGGCAAAGGTTTTGACTGGCCCGAATGGGTAAAAAAAACCACTAGCAAAACCATATTATCTACTTACATTTTTTTATGATACCGTTTTTATTAGCTAGGTAACATCAATTTTAAATATAAGGTAGCAAATATTTTATAAAAACAATTGTCCACCTGCCTATATCAATTAATAGTCTACAAACTATATGTCGATACTTATTGATAAACAAAAATATTAGTAAGTACCTAGCTTATTAAAAGATAGATTCTTTATTTTTAATTTTTGAAAATATATCAATTCCATCATCTATAAATCAATTTTACCTGATTCATCACTTATAGTCTGTACCTTATAGGTATACGATATATTTACAAATTTATATTATTTTTAATTATAAAATTATTTTTTTTTTATTGCTTGCTTACTGGTTTAAGTTTCTTCAGTTTATTAAACATACCAGAAATTATTTTCGATTCTTGAGCAGTTTGCGATAATTTTATAATTTTAGCCACACCACCCATTTAATTTTTTTAAGTCATATTTTGCCCAAATTAAAAGATTAATGTAAACACGCGTCACGAAAAAATAAATTTAAACTCAACTAAATTAACACAATATGCAGAATATTTGAATAGTTTACGATACACGACTTTGGCAAGTTAACTGAAGTCTGGGATCAATTACAAATGACAATTAATAAGAATGCCAATCTATATTAATTTTAGATTTTAGAAATAAAACTATACAAGATTACAATACTCATTATTATTATTGTTGACTGTTGTGCACATAATATTATGTGTTTACAAGACTCACTCACACAAACAAACATATATAAATACATACTACCTACACACCTACATACGATGTGTACGTCCCCACATACGTCTAAATATAAAAATATTTCAACTATCAATTATTAGTAAAAATTTATCATTGTGACGATAATTTCTTAGTACATAGTATAATATTTTCTGAAAATATTATAAAATACTAAATAGGCACGTTTTTGAGTTAATGAAATATAATAATAGTAAAACGCAACAACTGGGCACCGGCCAATCGAGCCTCTTTTAAAGTCAGACAGGGGCAAATGCCCACCTTGACCCCTCCCCAAATGACGTCACTGGCTGTAGGGTACAATCAATTTTTTTTTCAAATGTCTACATAATATCATGAAAAACAACAATAATAATTTATCGTATGCGTTTTAAATATAAAGGCAGATTTTAGCGTACCATAGGTTGAGAAACGCCGCTCTATAGTATTAGGTATAAGTATTATAATATTACTTACCTCTATTTATCATTATAATATTAATACTTGATAATGTGGATCGAGAATTATCAATTAGTTTTTTATTTCCAAGAGGATGCAGTCATTTTTTACTGGTAAATACTACGATTTACGGTGACAATGTTAGTAACAGCATACGCGCGGGTATTTCGTAAATAGTAATTTACTTTTACCGAGGTATTGAAGTATTTGAGGTACCTACAACCTACTTACCTATTTCACTCGTTGACCATCAGAGGCGTGCTCGGGAATTTTGGATGGGCGAAGGGGTGGGTTTGAAATTTTTTTCAAACAAAACATTTGATAAATTTAGCTGTATAAATCAAGTTTTAACCCCCCCCCCCCTCGAGCACGCTCATGTTGACCATTTGCAGGATTAAAGGACAACAGTTCAAAAACGATCGTTAATAATATTATTAGCAAATCAAATGTCAATCAACGAGTTATATGTCAATTTACGTTATCGTTGATATTATTCTTTAGTTATTCCCAAAGCATATCAACGCTTATAGATGGATTTGACTATTTGAGGGTTCCGACAAGTTATAGTTCATGCCGATGTACGAGCCAATATTTATTCATGATTTTGAATTCAAGACAATATCATCTAAATACATCCAGAACCACTAAAATGTTTAAACATAAAATATAATTATCTAGGGGACGTGATCTGTAAACTGTAAGGGAATAATGAAATATTATTATTAAAATAGGTATTTCACATGCGACTGTGAGAAACGGGTAGAGAGAAGGATCTTAGCAGGTATCTAACAAATTTTTTTATTGTTCTATTATAAAAAATTATCGCACACGTTTAGTTTAAAAATATCAAGACGTAACAAATAAAAATAACCTCGAACTATTTTTAAATCAAAATGAAATAAAAAATTTAATTCTCAAATTTTAAATGCTAACTCATCTGAATCTACGTTTTTAATTAACTGTTACCTATGACGTCCTAAAGCCAAAAATGTATTAGTGGATCGCCACAAGTAATAACTATTTTAAGAAGATGAAAGAACTTGAGGTCGTTTTTTTGTTGAGTGTTTTATATGTTAATTTAGATAATATATGTATATAAATCTATCTAGTCGTTTTTTTTTAAAAGCTTAAATTTTAAAAATAAATCAATTTTTAAGAAATGTATTTATTATTTTGTACTTTATACCCATATAAATAACATTTCAAATTTGGCCATCTATCTGATTATTATTAACTAAATTTAAATGAAAACCAAAATGCTATTAATTATCGAGGATATGTTAAATAATTCACACTTCAATTGTATGGTAATTAGTGTGTAAAGGACAGCCTATGGAAAACAAGCTACTTTTAAATAAGTAGGTATTTAAAAAATTCTATGACAAATATAAAAAGGTGAAAAAAGTTATACTAACATAACATTATTTTGATTTAAAACAGAAATGAAACTCATACTTTTCAAAACGAATACATCATATTGAATATAGGTTTAGATTAATTTTTTTGAAAAATGTTGTTAATTCGTAGATGGATCTTTAAAAAATATAAAACAATGTTTCGAACCATGAAATGATCTTGAACCAAAAAAAATGTCATTACAAATATATGGCATCATATTATAATAAATTAAGTTATATTTGTTAATTTTTTTTCATAATTAGACAAAACATACCCAGGATATGATATAATAACTTGTAAAACTTAAAAAAAATTAAAGGAAAACATAATAGGTATTGTTGTTTAGTTTATAAAAATAAACTAAATAAATGTTTAAAGGATAATAATGATAATTATTATGAAATTAAAATGTACACATAATGTCAATTTTTCTCAACTACACAACTTAATCCATTTAACTTTAAGAAATTTATGTTTTAAGTTATGTGAAATAAAAATAAAAAACATTTATAAATAATATTACATAATATGCACTTAACATAATTTAATAATATTATATAAAATAATACTAAGAATTAAATGTGTCAATTTACATGTTTATATATTATATATATACGATTATATTGATTTTGTATTTACAATTATGATTCCTATGTACACACACTTATTCTTTTAACAATTAACAATTTTCAACATATCAGAAGATTTAAATGTGTACATTCTACAGTTTAAAATAAATATGTTTATTATATAATATAATACATTTTTAGATATAAGTGGAAATCAAACTATAGGCTTTATTTATTTGTAATACTTTACACTGTACTCAACAATTAGCATCACTTTTTAGTTTAAAAAATTATTATTAGCATAACCTAAGTATATATTATATTTGTGTATTACACATTTAGAATAGTTGAGTGTAACAATATTCAAAATATTGTTAAATAAAGTTAGTCAAATATTTTTGAATATATTTGACAAATTAAAATTCAATATTCAGCCTCTTTAAATTGGTGAATTTATTTAAACCATTATGTATATTAAATACTAAATAGGCATAAAAATAACGCATTGACATACAAATAATTTAAATAGTATCATTTTTTAATTTTATAAAACTAAAAACCGATCAATAAATAGAAATTTTAATTGATCACAATAAGAATTACAACTGTGTTCAAAATAATTTTGTTTGGTGTGAATAAATAAAACAGAATTGGATATCACTTCAATATATTAGGAAATTATTAAAATCTATCAAGAATATTGTGTGAAATTTAAGCACAACCTTCACAACTAATATTAATATGGTAACATCATCTTGGCCACCTAATCTATCTAATTATATGCAAAAAAGGCAGCATTTTATTGTATTTACAGCAATTAACTATATGGCAGCTAACAAACAAAAAAAAAAATTGACATATAAACAGAGAACATTTTACAACTAAGTAGTAGTACACAAAAAAACAAGAAATGTTTATCATTTATCCAATATGCATGGTTTGAATGTGTCTCATAAGCTCTTTTCTATCCTCAAATACTTCATCGCAAATATCACAAGAAATAACTTCTGCAAATACAGGAGCCATTTCTTCGGTACTAAGCTCAATATTAGCACCAACCTCTTCAACATAATCTGTATCAAACACTAGTTCTGTTTCAACCACGCAATCACTATTTGAATCAACATTTTCCACGATTAAAGACAAATGATCATCATATTCACTATTATTTTCAACATAATATTCTACTCCAGGTTCATCAGGAAAATCAATGTTACAAATGTCACCAATGTTATCTAAATCTTCTACGTTAAATATTGACTCTATACTAACTCGTTCTAATGTATGGTCTGTTAAATCATCTTCCTCTACAGATATCTGATCTTCAGGTTCTTCTGGATTATCATTTTCTTTCGATTCCTCTCCTAATAATGAATCCATATCTGATGGATTAGATCTTGAAGAATAATAAAGAACAGTAGAACATGTTCTAGTGCACTCTCCGTCTTTAAGTACAAAACAATGTTTTTTTGGTATAGATTCTGATTTGACAACTTCGTTTTTTGGTTCATTTATCATTTGTGCCTTTGGTTCAGTTCTCACTAACCTGCCATTAACAAGTTTGTAGGTTTTAACTGGCCTTTTAGGAGGACTAGCTACAGATGGAGGATCGTAAGGCACATCATCTTGTTCCATAATTGATTGTACAGCTTGCTCTTCCGCTGTAGGTATTGGTTCATCTTCACAGCTCTCTGTGTCTGACTGTCCTGACATAACTAAGACTTTTTCTACTAAGCACCATGTATCTTTTCGATTACCCAACTTGCTCCGACGCTTATATTTGCGAGGTCCAACCTAAGATAAAGAATTATATTCTGGTTTAATTAAAGTATTCATATTACCTAAATGATAATCTTAAAAAAAAACCTACAGGAACTACTCTAGATCTTTTAGTATTTTCATCACTGTGCTGAACTAAATGTGAACAAAGCTCCATTGAAGATCGGAACAAATAACCACACACTTTACATTCATAAAAATTTACTTGACCACCCTTTGCCTCAGTTCCAGCATGATGTGCACGTATGTGTTCGCGCAATACAACCTAAAATTATATTATAAAAAAGTGTTGCTATTTAGTTATTATTATAATATTCTAATAATTTTACTCTTTGATTGAAAGCCTTTGGACAGACAGGACAAGCATATGGCTTTTCACCAGTGTGTATTCGTTCATGTTTTCGAAGTGTACCACCATCAGCAAAAGCTTTGTTACAATATCTACAACCATAAGGCCGTTCTCCTGTGTGTATTCGTATATGTATTTGTTGAGATGATCTAGATCCAAATACCTAAATAAAAATAATACATTTTAAATATTATACTAGTTGACATCAAAATAAACCAATCACTTTATTCTATACAATTTACATAGCATATGAGTCAATTATCAAAATATTTTTAAAAAACTTTTGTATAAATATTATTTAATAAATTTAAATGAAAAATAAAATTGACCATGCTTTTTATTACAATAACATACAAAATGTATGCAACAATTTAAATAAGTAGAGGAGTTCCACCAAAAAAGTATTCCTTAATATTCGTATTTCATATACAACATTATATACAGTGTTGTCTCGCCAGCTAAAATCAGTAAATAAAAAACACACATCATTGTAAAATCAATACAATCATCAATCCACTCAGAAACTAAAATTAAGGAAATAAATAGTTTATATAGATGTTTTAAGTTCAAATTTTTAAAAAATTGAACAAAGAAATATTTAAATTAACAATTTTAGTTATTTTATTTGAAATTATTTAAAAATATTGTTAATACTGTAACAAAAAAATCTAAAAAGTATAGGTTACAGTTTTAAAGAGCGACTGCTATTTATTAATCATTTTGTATATTATATTTATTTATCTCAATAATTAAAATTTTGGATCCACATCTTGGACCCCAGGACCCTATGGTACTAAAAAACCTAATATGACATCTATTATAGATAAATAAGGTGATCGTTACCACTGGATAGGATACCGTGATTTTGAATTTTACATGTTAAGCATAGGGAATTTATTGTTTTATTATTATTATTAAAATCTATATGGTACAACTAATGAATAATTATTATTATTAATTATTACTATAAATTGTTTTTGTAAGACAACATTTTCCTCTATCGAATAAATGTTTTTTGAAGAATATACGACTTAGTTGCCAGTGAAGCGCTTTAGACTGGTTTTCGGGGCATGTGCGGACTGAACTTAATTTGGTCGGCGAGCGGTTGCATTCTCTCCAGGCTCGGAGTATAGTAATTATTTATAAGTTTCATTGTTTGAATAAAAAAACCAATTAATTCCCTAGGCATTACATGTAAAATGACAAAACTACTATGTGCATTCTGACGGATGTGATTATTCTGAAAGATTTATAGTATGAGAGCACAATCGCAGCAGTTCGATAGTCGTATCATCATGGTTACACTAATGGTTTATAACCTTTTTCAAATCACAACCACCATTTTTTTTAAGAATAGAACATATATATTTTTTAATATGCGTACTTAAATGAAAACAAAATAAAATATACAAAAATAAGGCATATAATTGTACCGAACAAATAATTAAATTAATTTTATATTTATAATAGTATTACTTTTATATGAAAAACTATTTTGTTCATTATTTTTGGCGTTCCCCAGGTTGAATACCACTGGTAACACACATAAACACTTTCACGAGTGAAGATTTGGCAATAGTAATTATCACTCTAAATTATAATTGTGTGGTTAATGGACAAGAAATTCATCATTTTTTTTTGTTAGAAGATATATTAATTATGTAATAAAATATATAATAACAAAAATGTATTAAATGCTCAAATTATTATAAATAGTTTTAGTCTACACAAGTATTACTCTTTCAAATCGGCCAGTACAAAGACAATTTATGCCTATGCTCCAAGTTTAGTAAAGTACTTTAAAGTTCCGATGACTGAAGTATAATTAATAAAAATTAATAAATCAAGACAATATTGTACTTACTTTGCCACAACTAGTACAAGGAAATATTTTTTCAGTCAATGAATTTCGTGAAATACTAACAGTATTGGAATGACTAGCTTTGTGATTAATAAGTGCTCGTTTGTCAGCTAATTCTTCACCACATATGTCACAAACAACTCCTTTTTCTCGATGAGTTACCATGTGTCTGAAAAAAAAAATAATATTTTAATTTTACTACAGTTTTAGTTTTTTTCGTATTTTTATATATAAATATATAAAATAATGTTGTTAAAAATACATTACTAATTACCGTTTAAGACGTGCTCTGGAATGAAATCTTTTACCACACATTATACAATTATTATCAGATGTGTCATGAATCATTAAATGTTTTTGAAGAGCTTTATCGTCTTTACATGGTTTTGCACAAAGTTTACATGAAAATTCAGGTAATGAATCAGTATGAATTTGAGACACATGGTCAGACAGCTCATCTGTACTATCAAATGTTTCACCACAAGCTAAACAATTTGATTTCTAAACAGTAAATGGATTAAGCTATTTAAATTTATTTTTTATAAGTAATATTCATATATTAAAATGAGAAATATAAAATAAAAAAATAAAAATAAAACACACTTCTGAAATATTTGTAGGAATCAAATGTTGCTCAGTATGCATTTCTAACTCAGACATAGACTTAAAGAACAATCCACAATGTATACACATTTGTGCTTCTTCATATATTTCTTCTTCAACGTTTCCAAGTTCTTTTTTCATATGCTGCCTAAATATAAACAAAATTAAATTAAATAATTAAAATTGTATATAGTAACTATTTAACTCTTATATTTAATTCAAAAAAGGAGTTATCAAGTCATAATATGTTATATTCATTATTTGCATATATAAGTGTTTTTCTTTTTTTAAGTTATTTATTAAGATTTATCCTTAAATATCTATTTAAATTCAATCATATTATCTAAAATTAGTCTAAAAATGCCAGTAAGATGTTTATAAATTATTGTCAATGGAAAATTACAAAAAAGTGTAATTTATCTTTTAGCTATTCTGTTTAGTTTTATTTGGTCATCAAAAACTGAATAATTTACCTTTGATGACGTTTTAAAAAATCAAATCTGTTAAATACTGCACCACATGAATCACAAGAGTAAGAATCATTGCATTTATTATTGGACAATATTGTAAGCTCGTAACTATCTGAATTTGATTTTTGAGTAGTCACAATATTTACACCATCATCAACATGACTAAGACGAGCATGATTAAGAAGAGCTTTTTCGCGTGTAAATGAAATTCCGCATGGGTTACATGTATGTGGTTTTGAGTAAATTTCTGAATTCCAACCAAGAGTAAATAAGCGATCTTTCATTGGACGACCTTTTCCTCTACCCCGACCTTTACCACGGCCACGGTTTTTTGTACTTTGTTCCTGATATATGTCTCCTTTATCTTCAGAATCTTCACCAGGTGTAACACTCCTTCTCTGTATTGGATCCATGAACATTAATTTGTTCATTACTTTTGTAACAGATACATTTTGGCTATCTACAAAAATATTATATTCAAGTTATTATTCATAACTTAATATATTAAGAAGAAATGTACTTTACCACCCCATGCAAATTTTTAAATTTTTTTTTTTGGAACTTACTTATATTAACTATTTAAAACAATAGAGCAATTAAAATTTGGTGGTCAGACTTAGTTTCGGGGTTATGGCCTTTGGAAGTCAGCAATTTGGGTTTTTTTTACTGGTACTCACATATTTTCACCAGTTTAAAACAATGGTGCAATCAGAATTTGTTGGTCAGACTTCCTTCTACCGACTTTGGTCGCCAGACTCCATAGCCAGTTAAAGTAATATAAGTTATATACTCTATTCAGATTAAGATTGAAACACTTTCGCGCATTCAGACTGACCCGCCGAACAGTGTCTGACCACCCATGCGCTGACAGTCATCGCCGGCCATTGTTAGTCGCCGGATGGCTGTGCTAACGCTCTCATCAATGTGGAGATTGTGGTGGGGATAAGCAGAAAAAACATGTTTTGGTCGGCCGAGTGCTTCAATCTTATTCTGAACAGAGTATAGGAACATAGCCGATAGGAAGCAAGTTAAAGTATGACAAGTAGTCGCTCCCTATGCCTGCCAGCTCCGTACATGGTAAATTATAGCGTTAAAAAACGCAAAGTGGCTAACTTCCAAAGATCATAACTTCGAAACTAAGTCCAACCAACAAATTCTGATTGCACCATTGGTCTTAAATAGTTAATATAAGTAGGTTCCAAAAATAAAAAATTGAAAAATTTGCATTGGGTGGTAAAGTTCATTTTAGCCAAATATTCTTAGAAATTAATTGTATACCTAAACCACAATCTGATGGATTATCAGGACCAATATGAATTTTCATATGATTGGCTAAATCACATTTACGACGATAACGGACACCACATAATGCACAACAAAAGGGACGCTCGGATTGATGGGTAACCATATGGTTCATAAGATGTGATTTTCGATTAAACCTCCGACTACAAAAATCACATGGATATGGATTAACAGAAGATGAAGCTTCTTCGCCTTCAGGTATTGGTATGTCAACATCAACAGTTGATGACATACATTTAACATCTGTTTCTAATATGCTAAAACAAAATAAATATCTAAATAAAATATGCTACTTTATTATTTGTATTTATCAGTTATTGCAACTACCACATTTTTTCTAACTTATCTGTCTTACAACCACACCAACAGTCAGAATAAATAAAACAACATGCAGTCCTATATATCAGTCCTCAACTAAGAACATTCATAAGTTTCTCTACATATACCTCCAAAACTCCATTATTGAGGTAAAACTCTAACAGCACTGTTCTAATGATTTTTACTATTATTTTTGGGGCAACAATTTTAGAGTTTAGCTTAGTAAACTTTAGACACATAATTCCCACGTATAATTATTTCAATTCACTGTGGCCTTGCAACATATATTTTATTGCTGTTGATAACATTTTACATAATTCAGTTCCTCTGCCCGACAAAATATAAAGTGCAATGCACATAAAAATGAAATACGACTATTAGCAAATCAATTCCTAACACACATATGACATATTTACTTTTTATGTAGGATTTAACTCTACACTTCCAAAATATTTGCTTTTATTGCTTATAGTGAGTATTTCATCAAAACATTAAGAATTGTATTTTGGACTTAGTAAGCTAAAAGTAAAAATAAAAATAACTAGTAAAAATATGCAAAGGCAAGTCCTTGGTCTACTTATTATTGATAATGAAAGTATATTATCAAAACAATAGAATATAAAAGAAAATGATAGAAATCTTTTTTAACCATTTGACGTACTATTACTTCCCTGCATTTAAAAATATTCTCATTTTTCGGTAACCTTACAAGTTTTGAAAACCATGGTTTGCATTATCTTAAACTTAAATAATTAGATCATATAGATTTCAAAATTTAAACCTTAACCTTAAAAAATATATTTCAAGTAGCGTATACCGGTTGCAGTGGATAAATAGTGTAGCAGTCAAAGGGTTAACTATATTCTCATAAAAATTCATTATTGAAACAAAAATTACTCATGAGCATTTAATAAAAATGGTTACCGTTCAAGCTGGCAGCTATGGTTGTAATATCATAATGAATTTCAAACATGAACTACCTAATTTAAGTAGCTCAAAGATCAATTGTTAAACAAACACAATAAAGTATAAAATAAGTGATCTAGTATGAACCTATTAGATGTTGTAGAAAGTTATTTGGTTAAAAGTTAATTAATTAACACTTTAAAAAAACATGATGTACCTAACTACATATATTTAAGTTTTAAATATTTCTAAATGAATACTACAATTTTCTATTACTTTAACACTAAAATAATAATGCAATACAGGAAAAAAAATTGAATAATTAACACAATTTTTATTTGTGTAATTTAATATTTATTATGAGTCACAACTATGTATTGTGTTTTAATAAACATTTAATTTTAAATTTTAGATGTTAAATAGTATATAATTTATCATATACTCTGTCTACGTTTCACATTAAATTGTCATAACCATTGGCGTTCTAATAAGGCATTTGTCAAAAAAAAATATGTAGTATAAAAATAAGAGTTAGTAGAGTAAAAATAGAGGGAAAATATCATTTAAAGAAACTTCTGCAACCACTGAAATCATTTTCTACAGATTTTACTGGAGAAATAACTTATAAACAGGGCTAGGATTTGTATGCAACAGTATGTTTTTTTGCGACTTCTGATTATTGATTTTGTCAGTAATGTCCACGAATCACCTCATGATGAGATAAATGGTGGTGTTTTTATTTTGCATGTTTTTGCATATTTTGGATAAAATGCATATTAATGCATATATTGAATAAAATAAATATTATTGCATATTTTGATTATAAGAATGCAAAAAATGCATGTTTTATAGAATATTTCATATTTAATTCTAGCTCTGCTGATTAAAGTATAAAACTTGGTTTTTTTGTCAAACACAATGTTTATTTTTATAAATAAAATCCTATGGTACAATATGGTATGCGATTAAAGATTGAATAGTTTGACGGAGAAAGATAAACACAATTAATAAAAGTATGTCGGTCAATATAAAATCCAAGATAAGATATAATTTGTCGGGTATAGTATTATTTAGTGTATTACACACAATCTCATATATATATAATACTACATAATACTAGTGTAGTACAGACCGTTCAGCTGTCCGCGCATCACAGTTTATTAGACTATTGTGTAAAATTATTGTGATTTTTATTTTAAAAATGCCGAAAGTCAAAAATGAAAGTGCCAAATTACAACAATTTGTTGTAGAATTTTCTAGCTATGTTTTTAAAACCGACGGTAAAGTACTGTCAGATTCGATAAAAAAAGCTAAAGAATTGTTTGATAATCAAAATTTAAAAAATGATTTAGCATACATTAAAAGTAATTTTTGCTTTATATCTCAAGTCATAATTAACTTACAAAACAAGCATTTAACACTTCATGAAAGTCTATAAATTATAATAAACGCTAGGGATCGACTTCTTGAGTGTAATGGAAGAGTTGCAGATAAAGTAAAGAACAAATTATCCTTGGTTTTACAAAAAAATAAAGGATTTAAAACTCTACAATCAACAAATAAAATATTAAATGGTGAATCGGACGAGGACAATTTCAGTTGTAACCTAACACCAGGACAAATATCTTTACTTAAATATGAGCCAACTACATCATGTGACGTAGAACGGAGCTTCAGTCAATACAAAGCCAAACTACAATCCAATCTCCGATCATTCATTTTCGAAAATTTAAAAAAATATGTGGTGGTAGCATGTAACACACGTAGTGAATGTGAATTATAAATTTTATTTCTAAATTATTTTATTTTATTTCTCAATTATATTATATTATTTTATTATATTAAAACAAACAGCGAACCACTGATGTATTTCAATAAATAAATATTTTTTTTGTAACTATATTTTTGTGTTTATCTTATAAAAATTAAAATGCATATTAAATATAAATATTAAATTTTATTATTTTTGCATATTTTGGTAAATAAAATGCATATTTTACAATTTTTTATTGCATACAAATCCAAGCCCTGCTCATAAGCAACCGAATCACAAGTACAATTAGGTACTCATCACAGGTGAACATGTTATAGATTATCTCACCTGTATTTACTGGCCAAAAAACTTGTCATTCAGTTGCTGGCAGTCAATCATTGGTTAAACATGAACAGAGTATACTCATTATGAAACTTTAATCAAAACTCACTTGTTAATATCGGTAGAGCGGTTCATGTCCCAACTTTGAGTGATTATTTCCTGCTCGGGGCATTCTTGAACAACTACTTCTTCTTGGACATCAAAATAATTTTGGTATTCCTCTTGGGTCATTTGTTTGACGACTTCATCATCACTAGACTCAAATAAATCAACAGGCTCTTGTTTGATTTCCTGCTGTTGATCCATTTCCTATACAATCAAATATAGTTAAAGATGAAAATGTAAAATGTGATTAGATAGTGGTTGATTTAGATTGTTAAAACCAATCTGCTACCTTAAAATTATCACTGAATGAAGATATGGCAGCTAAGTATTGTAACCCATCGGCATATGGCACAGATTCCATGACCGCTCTAGTCATATTATTGAGCTCATTTGTGCGTGTACTACTGTTGGTGAAATACGAGGACCCAATGGTTTGTATTAAACAATCGTCAGATGACAAACCGTCAATGTCATCCGGACTGAAAAACTCGGTCTTGACAATAGAGTCAACAACAGTGCCTGGACATAAAATATTGTCCTTACTATCAAAATCAAGTGTTTGGTTACCAGAATGGACGGACACAATTTCTTCGACAAAGTCAGTGTCCATGGTGAAACAGGGTCTGGGTGGTGGTTATGGGAATATCTAAAAAGAAACATAATATCTTATGTTTGAATGTGAATGATTGTCCATACCCTCAACAGTAACTGAGAAAAAAGTACCAACTAATCCAAATCCAACACCAAAACCTGCCGAAAGCTAAAACGTAAAAAGGGTACACAAACACTGAAACACTACAGCCGGATATAATAATATAATCCAATTCCAATTCCCCCTGATCATGACCATCCAAGATCTTTAAAGATCTTGAATCTTGATCACCATCCACATCAAATTCAAGAATATCTGAATATACGTATCAAGTATTCACGTATACGACAAAGGTACGTTAAAAAAAACGAGCGGGATGGACGGGGACATATTATTATTTATTATACTTGTCTATGGGAAAAGGTACTCAGTTGTAGTCGATAGTCGGTACTCAATAACTAGTAACTATGATTTACGAATTCCAAAAATCGGCAACGACCTATCCGGCCGTATCGGTCGGACCGAGTAAGCGATTTCCCACCGAGAAAATATTATTATTATTTACCAGAGTCCCGACTTATAAGTCTATAACCTAAAAAATTCTATTCGACGTCTTTTCCTCCATTATTATTTATTTTTCATGGTTAGTTTTTAATTATTGTTTTTCGCACATATATATATTAATAAAATTTGAGTGTCCTGTGAAGGAATTCGATTGTTATATTTATTAATTATTAATCATTTTCGCCGTCCGACGGGATAACCGGAGAACCTGAGCGCGCACTCGACGCGACGAAAACGTTCCCTGACCCAGGCCGTGTCACTTCCGCCGTCAGCGGACATGTTTGTTCCGTCGACGAATTTGTACTTTTGTCCCTAACCTAATAAAATTTCGACAATGTCAAATGTACTCACCCCGCCACGCAGCCTCTCGTCGGACGTACGCCGAGTTACGTTATTCCGGGTCGTTTTCCGGCGTGGAACGCGTATTTTTAACGAGTAAATACCGATCGACGGCAATATGACGCCATTATACGTATACAAAATAATATACAAAATACATTCGTCGAAAGTCCTCCACCGTCCCCACTCCCCGCCACCATTCACCAGTCACCACCCGGCACCCGTCACCATCCCAAAGACTGCAGATATTGCAGTGTCGACGGGTCGCGGTCGACCCCTGATCATGGAACAGAAACAGTCGGCATCGGCTGCTGAGTGCCTCAGAATAATGATAATTGATAATAGAATACTTGTTCAATGTTCAGCCACATTACTCATATCATGACAAAATAGGTCTATCTTCTAAATAATCTATTTTGTCATGAGTCATGACTCATATGACAGCTTCAATATGACTACTTCTTTATCTATGGCTTCAATATTGTTCTATCTTCTCACTTCTATGAGTCCTAACTTCTTAAGAGTACTGAGTAGGCACTATAAGCACTATCATAGAAAATATATTAAACTATATAGGCTTGTAGGCTTGTAGCTTCAATGAAGCTGCTTCATTCCGATTCCCATTTATTATTATGGCCTGGCTGTACAAAAATATATTAGTTCAATAATTAATATTAAATAGTTTTTGGTCCAATAAATTAAGTTGGTGAATCGATGAAAATTAAAATACGATGCACAAAGTCACTATTACTATAGCTGAAACTAATAATTAGTATTTACTATTTAGTAATTACTAATAAGTAATAACCAAATAACTATAAGGGCCATAAACCATAAACTAAGTTATACCTATTCCCAGTATTAATTTCTTTATAGGTCTACTTTTGTTGGTCGTTTGATGTCAATTTTCAGTAGCGGATAGGCAATAGTAAAATTATAAGACACATTTTGGAATTTTGGATCTATATAGTATATACTATAACCACAGAGCACAGATTATAAATATATTTTCATACAATCAGATAATCTGTGCTATATATTATAATATTTACAAGTCGGCTACATAGTCAGTTACAGGCTACACTATTGCAGCCATTGACTATTGTCATTTGTTATGACTTATGTCTTATGAGTTAATAGTTATGCTTATGAGTTATGACTGTCGCTAAACAAAACTATAAGTCATATTATCATGATGGCAGCCTGCAATAGTTACTGAGGTAAGCAGTGTCTTCCCGTGACAGTTTATTTTGTCATCTGTCATACTGCAGTACTGCACAGTGCACATATATACTGCAACTCATAAGTGCACTTGTGTCTTGTGCACGTGCACTCAACGACCAACGTCTCAACTAGTCAACTCTCAAGACTCAAACTCTCAAGTCTCAACAGTTGAAGTAGTTGAACAGTCAACCGACGGCTGATTTTTATAACGCGCCAACGCGGCTCGTTATTCGTCGACTATTCTCGGTTACACACGATGGCAAATAAACCGTTACGTTTCGAAATCGAGATATCCAAAATCCCATTGGTCCAACACGCAATGGTGGGGGGTGATGGAGGGAATGAAACGTTAAAATGGCTACCTTTGTCCGTGTCGACCGTCTTACAATTATTATTGTATGCCACGACAGAAACTGAATTCAGAATTATACTGATATCGTTTTTATTATTGTTGTGAGATTTTATTTTGAATTCTCTCCTATCGCGGATTTACGGAGGCAATCCCATTTACCCATTACCTAGTCACAATATCGTTAGTCGTTATACAGTCCGTCGGCGTCCGAAATTCCAAATATAAAATATCCATTCGCGAGTAACGGCAAAGCGGATTGTGTACTGTGCCATTGGATTTCTTCCATTTGTTGGTCCACTGAGACAAATATGAGTTCCGTAAGTATTATCACCGTTGGTTCGTTGCTTTCGTGGTCATAATATTCTTTGTTTGACGTTCTTTTCTGTTCTTTTTAGATTTCCAACGTCGAAAACCTGTCACCGCAGACTATCCGCAGGCTAGTACGGGAACAAGAAGAACTGATAAAAGACCCTCCGGAAGGCATACGGATTGTCGTCAACGATTCTGATGTAACTGACATTCAAGCATTCATCGACGGTCCCGGTATGTTAAAAAGTTATAAGTTTTGAAACGAACACTTCTGATAGAATCGAATAAACGTGTTCTGTTTTTATTGCATAGCGGGTACACCGTACGCGGGCGGTCGGTTCAATGTAAAATTAGTGTTGGGAAAAGACTTTCCACATACACCACCTAAAGCATATTTTCTTACCAAAATTTTCCATCCAAACGTAGCTAGCAGTGGTGAAATATGTGTCAACACTTTGAAGAGGGATTGGAAACAAGATTTAGGAATAAAACATATTCTTCTTGTAAGTTATGTAATATATTTCATTAAAAATGTCTAATAAATTTTTTTTTTTTGTAGACGATTAAATGTTTATTAATAGTACCAAATGCAGAATCCGCTTTAAATGAAGAAGCTGGCAAACTTCTATTAGAAGAATATGATCATTATTTCCAAAGAGCGCAAATGATAACAGAAATTCATGCTCCGGTATAAATTTCAGTTTTTAATATTTATATATATTTTTTAGATTTTAAGATATTATGATTCTCATCGATTTATGGAGAAAAACTTTGTGTTCCATACCCGTTGAGTGAAACAACCAACCTTAACAAGACATAAATGGTGTATAAGAGTTTAATAAAAGGCTATGCATTGATATTTAATTATAAAAATAAAACTTGTCTTATACCATGTTCCAAAAGAAATACAAAAACCGTGCACCGGTTATGTCTGACCCTGCGCAGTGACATTGCCGCGATAACAATAAATGATAAGCAAAACTGGCTGTACCATTTCAGCAAGGTAAGGGGATGTTAGGCATCAGCACTGCCAGTCACAATGCACAGAAAGTAGGTATTCTCTTTTGGAACAAAATAAGACTTGGTTTGTAATGTATTGATAATTTAGTTAAATCGATAAATATTTTTTAAAATATTAAATAGTTTACAATATAAATACGTACAATTCAACTCTTGAGCTCTAATTCTTAATACTATGACAATATGTACAGTATTTATAATTCTATGTATTAAAATTTTTTTACCAAAAACTTATTTAATGAATTAAAAAAATCGACCAATTCATTAGCTTAAACAGTATTTGTTTACAATAATCATTATTTCATAATTGCATTAATTATTGCAGATACCTAAAAGTATGAAGATAGGACGAGAAGAAGATTCAAGTGATGGTCCATTAGCAAAAAAACATGCTGGTAGTAAAACATTAGAAAAGAAAAGAATTTCTAAAGATAAAAGGAAAACATTGAAAAGACTTTAGATTATAAATATTTACTTTTGTATTATATTATATTGGATGAAACTCAATCGAACGTCATCATTATATTTTATAGCTCCTTGAAACCCTACTAAAAAAACTAGATTTTTCCAATTTGTGTATTTTTTTGTTCGGTTGCTGTGTAATAAAATTAAGATTCAATTATTTTGTGAATTCAAACATGTGTTAAGCTAATTCAAAATTTGTAACCTGTATATATATATATAAAATATTTAATAGATAATTTATTATGATATAAAATGTTCTAAAAAGTGATTATATTTTGTTCCTTACATATGAGAATGTTTCAAAAATAAATAATTCTATATAAGTAAATATGTTCAAATTATGTTCATAAGGCTAGGTAAAACCTCTCGTCAATAGATAAACTATTATTTATAAATATACCATAAAATAACAAACCTATATTAGTCATTTTCATGCTTTAGGGCTTGCAAAAATTAAAAGTGCTTAATATCCATATTATTTTACATAAATAATGAATAAAACAAATAATTCCACCTTTTTGATGCTGAATGACAATATTATTGACATTAATCATGCAATAATCTCCTACTGTCTTGTCTGTGATCTAGAAATACATAGATCTGATTATCAGGTCTATGAATTAATATAACATTTTCATAAAGGTGATATAAGAAAACCTGAATAATTTGGTAAGATCTAAGACTCCTACATTCGATTATAAAGTTAAAAAAAGAAGCTGTTATTATGATAATGTAATGTCTACACCACAAAACAATTTGTTAGCTCTATTTAAAACTGGTTATCGGAGAACCCCCACCTACTTAACAATCAGTAGCAGTTCCAAAGAACAAATTAAGTACTGAAGATGAAAAACTACAGTCAAGTGCCGGAGCTCAGTAGGAACGAAGTAACAACACTTTATTTTGCAAAACGTAAAGTATGCATGATCAATTTATGTTTCAAATAAGACATGTTAAACAATGTGTTATGTGACACATAAATTCACTATGCATACTTTATGTCTTGCAAAATAAAGTATTGTTACTTCGTTCCTACTGAGCTCCGGCACTTGACTGTAGTTTTTCATCTTCAGTACTTAATTTGTTCTTTGGAACTGCTACTGATTGTTAAGTAGGTGGGGGTTCTCCGATAACCGGTTTTAAATAGAGCTAACAAATTGTTTTGTGGTGTAGACATTGCATTTAAAATAAATATAAATATATTAGTTTTATCTTGGATTTATAATGTACATAATAATGATAATATATTATAAAATCAAAATTTTTTTGATTAGCCTTGTATAAAAAACAAACTACCTAAAACTAATAATATCGAAATAAATGATAGGGAAAAAATGTAAAGAGGAATTTAGGCCATTTTAATCATTGTATGTAATGACATAAATAAAATAAATGTAATACAATAAAAAAGTTTATATTTTGCATGAAAACATAAGGGGAATAATATACAAGTAATTGGAAAGTAGTTAAATTGTAAAAGTGTATAATTGCAGGTTCAATTTACTTTAACCTAATATAAATTATTACGAGTTATTTTAGTTAATAACTAATAACACTGTTTTAATTGTCAAACACTATTAAACTTAAAAATAGATATTAGAAAATAAAGAAATAAGTACATCAATCAGTTATTCTTGCTTTTGATAAAGCTATCAAGTTGTGCATCTAGTTCGTCTTTATTTGGCATCTTTTTTTCATTGTTTCTGCCACCTCTGCTACTGCCCCCACCTCGTCCTCTGCTGTTGCCACGAGTGTTGCCACGACCACCTCTAGTATTGCCACGGTTACCTCTAACTCCTATAAAAAAATTAAAGTTGAGATGTATTGTTTCTAAATAAAACAGCAAAATTAAGACTTACCACCACGAGTACCCCGGACTGGTAATTGGGCTGGTCTACTCAGACGTGTAGCAAGATTAGCAACAGTAGATAAGTCTGTAGCAAGTTCTATCTTCATGGGACGACCTTAAATGAACATTAATAATTAATTAAAAACACTATAACAATATATTTTAAATAAATACCATCCAGGGGAACATTGTTATATTGACGAACTGCTTTTAATGCAGCATTCTTACTATCAAAAACAACATCAGCTGTTCCTAAAGACCTTCCTGATCTATCATAGTGAACTGTAGCAGTTTTTAAGGGCCAAATTCATCAAAAGTTCCTGTAAAAAAAAAACACTAAAATAGAACTTTTACATTCAATACCACTTAATATATAACCATCCATGCCAATACTAAACAGTAACAATCATTCATAAGATAAGTTTTAATATTTATAAATCCAGAAAGTCATAAAATTATCAAGGAATATACTGAAGTTTAGATTACTTTTTAAAAAGTCTCTAGTTACTGAGAGGAAATGACAGCAGAAATTGTTTTAATCATCAAGTAATCAAGTAATACCATTACTTGATATAATCAATCGTTGTGAGCTTCAAAGTCTGATGTGTTTATAAGATGGTGATGGATATGACGATAGTGAGGGTGTTGTTGTAATTAAAGCTTCCTTGTGTAATATTAGGTTTCTCTTAAATTATTTATATTATTGTAATATCTGGCTACAAAGGTTAGTAACTCTCAAATTCTTTGATCATCGTTGCAATAATAGATTAATATTTCCACAGATTTTCAGTTCTTAATCTTGAACATGTGAAGTTTTTATAATAAAAGGCATCAACAAGATGCTTTTTTTAAACTTCCGAGTAAATGTTTATTTTTTCTTGAAATGTACTTCTTCTTTGAATAATACTATCAATATTTGGTTTTATCGTCAAAACCAGTAAATATATTATTTTTTTTAAAATAATACTATCAATAATTCGGTTTTATTAGTCGAAACCAGTAAATATTTTATTTTATTAAAAAGTATTTCTTCTTCAAATGAAAGTATCAATAATTGGTTTATTCGTCGAAACCAGTAAATATATTATTTTTCTTAAAATGATGCTATCAATCATTTGATTTCATTAGTCAAAACAGAAAATAGATTTATTTTTCTTAAAATGTATTTCTTCTTTGAATGAATATCAATAATTTGGTTTTATTAATCGAAACAATTATTATTTTCACTCTGTTTAACTCTTGCAAATACAGTGTAATGCATTTTTAATGATTCAATGAAAATTAAAAATTTGCAATTTTTTTAACAGAACAATTCATTTTCTCCTTGGAAGTTATATATTCTGTAATTCTGAATTCTCCAAAATATCCGCAGCATTGTTGAAGTAAGCATATTAATTTGAACAATCAATAAAAATCAATCACAGAAGATCCAGTGAATCCAACAACAAAACAACAAAAACCAAAAACTCACAAGATATTTTATGCAGACAAATCACCAAAATTAGTTATAATCTCAATACTGTAGTTCCCAACTATTTTTATTCCAATCAGTACCTCATAAATTTGTCATATTACTGTAGAACAGGACTATTCAAGACTCAGAAATTGATATTTGATTCATAACTTATCATTCAACATAACTTTGTTATTGGACGGTGTGTCCATAATAAGGAGGAAGTGTTTAATAAAAAAAAAAATCAGCCTAATATAAGTTAATTTATACTATCGATAGTAATAGCACAATAAAATTGTGATTTAGCACAGGTACACCAAATGTGTAATTTTGAATATATCTTCTTCTAGTTGTGACGAAGAATGACTTCGTTTAGAGCTGTAGATGTTTTTTCTTAATATCGGCGTAGAATTAATACAATTGGTGTACCCGTGAAAAATACTTTTCAAAACGCCATGTGCATTACTTAAATTAAAATTGCCACCGTCCATGCTTGTCAATAATTCAGTGAAGCACTCATGACTACCATAATATCTTAAGACACTATGATAAATATAGCAATTTTAAAAATGTCAACTCGCATACTCAGAAATGAGTTACAAAATATCATGTTTAGTAGTCAGTGGCTTATTAATATTGGGTCATTTTCCCAGAATTAAATTTAGGCAAAAAAATTTTTCATTAGTTGTAGTGAAAACCGAATTCTTTTGTAATAATTTTATCTTGAGTAGCCAGGTATAGAAATTATAAAGAGAAAACACTGTCCATGGGTCGTTCTCGGACGGCAGTTTACAACACAAATGAAACCCCAGCTTTGAACCAATAGTGGATCTAACAACATGTGGTGAACATTCTATCTAGGTATCTTCAAGCTGCAATCGGCTGAAGATGCCTGGAAAAATAATGTTTTCGAATTTATTCACATTAAATAATAAATTGAAGCCTAAAAGTAGTACAATTTGCAGATATCTATTGTTTAATAAATTGTTTTATATTCCTAGGTTGTGAAAACTTTATCCACATTTCAATTAATAGAAATTTATTAAATTGAAGTGTTCGTCTTGATTGACTTAAAGCTTGTTAAGTTTTTAGGTCAATTAAATTACAGTTGACATTAAGTGTAGAACTTAACATTTTTCAATTAATAATAAGTGTTAAATAACAAAATAACATTAGGTATTTCTTCTAAAATGTTTATGATAGTAATTAAACCATTCATAGCGGCATTTATAGATCTGTGAAACAAATATATTATTAACTGTACCCAAACATTACTATTTAAATAAAACAAAAAAATGTTTGAAAAATAGTTAAATTACCAAATTAAATTAGGAACAAAAATGAAACAGGCATTTCTAAGTGTTATTAATAAGAAAACATTGATAAATAAATCTAGGTTTTAATCTTAATCAAACCTGTATATCTGTTGATGTAACTCCAAAATCCAAATTTGATATGACTATCTTATGAATATTGGTAGTAGATAGACCACCCCTCATTTGTTGTCTTTTAGGTCCTTCGTACATATCATGAGTCCAAGATCCATTCACATCACCCTAAAAAAATAGTTATAAATAAATAAAAATATGAATCATTAATATATAATAATAATAATAATATTATAAATAATGTAATATATCGACTGAAATAAGACAAAAGGGGCTAAGCGACATGTGTATACTACGGGACAGTGACAGGTTAAGAAGTCAATCACAAGAGAGCTAGTGTTCCTATGACCATTTGGTAAAGAAATACTTTAATTTATCAAAATATGAATCATTGAATCAAAATATATAATATCTTCATTCCTTAAGCTTAAATAAAAACCGAAGCACCGACGTCAAAGTGAAGAACATATAAAAATTTTTGTTTCTGCTCTCCTGAAATGTAGTAAAACTGTTGCTTAGCCCCTTTTGCCTTTTACCAGTCAATATTACATTTAGAGAGCTCGGTTATAATACATTCACTATGCCTATATATATTTTGTGTTCAACCTGTTCTTTAGTGATCATAGGAATTTGCAGGTATGACAATATATTATCAGTTGTGTACTGATTACTGAAGATTTATTAAAAATTGTATAAACCATGATGCACAATAAATTCAATTTACCCATCTACCCACTACATTTGTGGACATCACCCTTTGGCTTTTGAAGACAACTAAACTTATAATTATATTTTGGCTTACAATAATTTACCCACCCATCCAAAAAAATATCCACCATGACACCTAGGACTGAACCCACAACTGAATATAATGTAGGATAATTGTAGGAAATACAATATTATCTAAATAATATATTAGAATAATTTGACTATATGAACTGGAAAGTTGTTTGATTGTATAAATACTATTAAATATTAATTGCCTTTTAATCATCCTTTTCACTTTCATGAGAGATTACACAGGTTCTCCCCATCCACCCACTATTTACAAAGGTTCCCGTATAGCATGGTATCATGAGAGGATGGGCAGAAAGCCGATTTTGGTTGGGCCAAGGCATCTTCGGACTGTTCTCTCATTGAACAGAGTACAGAGTATAGATACTAATTCTGTTAGCTTTGTAATAATATATGCAGTTATCAAATGACAAATGGTAAGTTTTCAAACACACCAGGTCATTGTTAGAGTATACGTAAAATAGGAGGGATACAGGCATATAGCCTCCCCTGTTAATTTTAAGAATATACGTTGTGTACCCATAAAATTATAAGCTATAGCTCTCCCCTCCGTATAAATACATCACGCTACGGCACACTATGGTCGTCACAATTGTCCAAAACATATTGATTGTTGAAACAACCAACTCATCATTCTGCCGAAGAAAATAAGGCATAAACAGCAACTATATTATATGATATAGTTCCACCGTACGATTTCTATGAAGATGTATTACTGTTTGTTTAATCGGAAAAAACCACTCCTTCCACACATGCAAACAGAGTGGTTACTTCGTGGAAATAGCTCTTACAAACATGCGGTGGCCCAAAATAGTCGGTACCAAAAGCTCGACGACTTTCACGTGTTTCTCACCTTGGAATAAGGACTAAATCCATTTGAACGCCTAGCCATGGGCCTGCCTCTACGGATAGGGCCACCACCACCGCCGGAAGCACCATTTGATCGGAAATTCGATCCTCCGCCGCCACCGCCTCCGCGTTTGACACCGCCGCCTCTAGAACCGCCTTGTCTTCCGCCACCACGACGTCCACCGCGAGACGTTGACCGTTTGCTCTTGATAAGTTCGTCTAAGCTCAAGTCCATCTTGAATCGATTGCGATAGAAAATTTATTTAGTAAGCAAAAACCTGAGAGGCTAAGAACACGCTCAGGGATCTGCAGTGAAAAATGTTTAACAAAAATGGCCGCAACACAAACAATCGTCAACAACAAATCACAATGTTACGTAGTTACTCGTTTCACGAACCACGGTTGCCACTACTCACTACCTTTTGTACTTTACGTCCGTACACTGTTTACAGTTTATACAAATTACACTGCGCCACTGCGGTAGACCGGACACTGGACCATGTTTGGTACTTGTGTTTGAATGGTGAAGTGATGATGGGTGGGATAGCCTACAACTGTTATGTACAAAAAATATCCAAAGTGATTACGTTGGACACACTGATAAAATGGCGCCAATAATTTGAATACATAAGAATAATAATAAATTATAATATTACCACAGCTTACTGCAATACTGCCTAGGAGCAACCTAATAGGTGGGGTGAGTGTGAAGCCGCAACCTCCCACCCAGTTTAAACATTTCAACAGACTTTTCCTTCTGTTATAACCATGACAAATTAGTCATTTTACGTTTTTAGCAAACATGAATTATTAGGGGCCTGAATTATATTCTTTTAAAAAAGCCAAATTAAAATAATAATATTCTCTTAAAACATTGAAAATATTCTTCCAATATTTTTTTTAAATAATAATAAAATATGCATTTTTTATGCAAAATAATACAAACTGATATAAATAAATACATAATATGCAAAATAATACAAAAAAAATCTGATATAAATAGGTACCTACATAATAAAAAATACTACATGTTAAGAAAAGTTTGATTTAATTATTAATAATAATATTTAACGTTAAATTATTTTAAATTTTAAGCTAAGAAAATGTTTGAAAACTATATTTTTATCCATGTGCTCCTCTGGAGTTTTATTTGTACAATGGTCGGTTAAAATGTTTTGAATGTACTAATTTATATTATTTACGCTACTGCAACAAAAAATATCAAACATCTACAAAAATTAATGGATATATTCTCTAATATTCTTTATTATACAAAATATTCTTTAATCTCGAAATATTCCCAAATATGCAAAAAAATACTTTTGCCATTAACTTGCCTGTATCATGATTCGAACCTAACCCTAGTTGTTATCAATAAGGGATAACAGTTTCAACATCAATCGGAAGACATGTGATTGAGGGGTTCACATTGATGTTAAAAATATGAGGGGGCTTCGATCCCTGTATCCAATACAACTAAAAATCCGCCTGTTTGGTGGGTAGGGCTAACCCCCCTGCCCAACATCCTAAGCCCAATTCAAATAATACCCCCAGAAATCCAAATAGACGATCAGTATAAACTAGTATAACTACCTATATAAAAATTGAATAAGACTTTTTTTATTTTTATTTAATATTTTATTTAATGTTTGAGTATAAATAACAATAATATGTTTATAAATTAATGGTGGAATGAAAAAATAATTATTATTAAACTACAATGCAGAAAAATAACTTATAAAATAAATGTAAATAACATATTACGATTGAACTAGGAACTGAATTAAATATAAAATATCAGTTATCAACTGCAGAATAATTGCAATGTTTTGCCTCAGACTTATAGAATTATAGAACTGATTTAAACAAACACTTAATATAATATATTAGTTCAGTTCCATATGCAACCTTACTTTTTAATTAAAAAAAAAATACAATTAAAATAACTATAGGCTGTTTATCCCTGTTTTCCGAAAAAATATCAAGTTATTATTTTTAATACATCCACAGCCTTTCTATTATTATATAATACACACAATGTTGGCATTCTTTTCAATGTATAACACATAAATTAATTTAATTATTAGGATATTAACTTGAGACTAGAACTAGATGCAAAATTAAGTGATTTACTTCATTATCAACAGAAGTAAAGCACATAATAAAAAAATCACTTAAATAATATATTTTTAATTTAAAATCTCAAGGATTATATTTTCTTAGTAATAATTGTGATGATCAGACAATGTATGTATTAAAACATTCAAAACCAACAATTAACTAATCAAAAAACTTAAGCAACAAAAATAAAGACAATTTCATAAAAAATCTATTAGCTGTAATGTTGCAATTATAATAAAATTTTAAAAATACACTGACCACTATTAAAATGTATGTATTATAAATAAAGAGCATTTAACACCAGGAAAAGAAAGGACTTTTATTTTGAAATCTTTGAGTAAATGTATCACTGAATGAACGAAACTTTGATGTAGTTCCCACATGACCTTTGGACCTGAAAAATAAAATAATAACTTTGTAGAAGGCTTAACAAAAGTATTATTTTATGAAACAAACTTTTAATAATTTAATTCATTATTAGTAAATGTACATATTCTGTTTCAAATAAGAGTAACCTCAGTTGGCAGGCTTCTATGTAATGGGTGTGGCTAACACACACCTTAAGGTGGTGTGTTCTCAGGACCCAGGAGTGTGACTTTATTATTCTAATAACTCACCTATACCCTGCTCAAAATAAGAAGCCACCTGATATACATAATAGTATATACATAAGAGTTTTGCTCGTGGCCACTTGGTAGCTTCTTATTTTGGATATAGCTTGATTGCATTTTACTAAGACTAACACAGTTAAAGGGCTCTATTTGGCCGTGTTATAAGGAAATTAATATAAGAAATTTAACACAATGACATTAAAATTACTTGTAAGTGTTTGTAAGCAAACATTAGTATGTGTGAGTTTAATCTGCAATCGTTTTTGGTCAATATTTCCTAGAAATGTCCTGAATCATGACAGTAGGCCAGCATAATACCTCGTGGTAGGTCGGTCGTTATTTATATTTGCCATCAATTAACTTACATGAGCACAGTCATTGGTATATTAAATTAGATAAACTTTTTTGAATTAAAAAGAAAAAATAGTTTTTAGACCATAAAGCCAGAAAAAACTGAAGAAATTTGGTTTGACGGATTTCAATTTTTAAAACTTATTTTCATTGATTACCAGGTTTACTAGGTTTCGGTACTTAAAAATTGCCTCTGGTCAAACCTAGTAAACTTGTTAATTAATCATATTTCGTTTTCAAAATTAAAACCTGTCAAACCAAATTCCTCCAGTTTTATTGGCTTTTTGGTCTAAAAATCAATTTTTTTTTCATCAACTAGAGCCCCTAAAGCAATTATTTTGATAAGTCCAATCGTTAATAATAAATCTGACAATGAAAACCAATTTAATTGATCTGCAAAATCTGACAGGCAACATTTTTTTCGCCACCTGAAGTTTCTCTTATTTAAGATAAAGTACAGCTAAGAGTAACTTTTGGGCAAATCAAATAATTGTTAACAGTAAAGGCCAAACTACAGAAACTGAATAAATATTATTTGTCATTACCGTTCAACAATAACGGCTGGCATTTGAACAAGTTGTACAGGACTTTTACCATCTTTTAGAGCTTGAGTTAAATTTAATATCTGTCCACGCATAACACTCATTTGCTTTTCAAACATATGTCTATCAAATCCTTTGTCCATCTGTAAGTTGAAATATATGAACAATAATTAGCATTGCTAATTTTTAAAAATAAAATTGTAGTATTATAGGTAGAGTTAGTATATGTTATACATATATCTATATTTTTTTAAATCAGCCTGAATGCATACAATTTATTAGATAGTCACTATTTAACTTTTATAAGGACAATTTATTTATTTAAAAAAAAACACATTATTACACATAAATTGGTTATGAAGTTATATTTCATAATTCAATTCAATCAAAAATTATAACATAACACACATCATCATTACTTATAAAACACAATTCTGATTTGAGAAAAAAAAAGAGGGAAATAAGGTAACCGCTTTGCTGTACAGACTTATATTAGGTGTTGAGAATACCACATGAATGAATGAAGACGGTCTATCAACCTATATTACTAAGTATATTTCATGATATGTTTGTTGATATTCTATTAAAGATATTTATTTAACTAATTGGACAGTAAGTTGATTTAATTTCCCAAAAACAAATGATATTGCTCAAATATAAATATCACATAAAATATAAGACAAGTATGTACCTTCGTTAGATTTTTAAGTCCCCACAATGAATATTTTTCAATTACAACAATACAATTAAAATTGTGATTATTTGTTTGAATATCTAATTTTGTCCAAATTTGAACTTCAAATGTCCAAGATATTGAAGTTGGAAATCAAAACTTTTTCTCACATACAGAAATAGGTGAGTATACACTGTATTGATATTACTGTAGCAATTAAATGGTACAATAAACAAGTTAACTTTGAAATTTTGGAAAAAAATACTTAAATCTTTGTAATTGTTGGTAATATTTATTGGTGTAAATAAAACTCCTATGAGGAAATGTTGTACAGGAAATAAATGATTTATCAAACTAAATTTATTTTAGTTGGATGTTTTTGTTTTGTGGAGTTTAGATATTACGGTATAATTTAAAATCTTCAAAATCTTTTTTTATATATAATAAATATTTTTCTTTTTACCTTAAACAAAGTGTAAAGATCATCACACAAATCTTGAACAAAGTTCATATCAGACAGATAAGGCAATACTAGTTCTTTTGTATCCTTACTGAATGGAATCTTTGCTTGTGGAAGCCATGCCCAATGGTAGGGGTATGCACGCCATGAATCAGGGTGTTTAAATGGAAATGCTAAGCCATTATCAATAGCTGCTATCTTGATGTCTGGTTCTTGAACACTATTCCATTCCTATATATTCAGTTATTTAAATATTTATAAACAAGTAAAAAATATATACAATAATTTAGCTTACATTTGAGCTTTCACTGACTGTAGAATTTGTAAGGCTAGCATTTGGGCTTGTGCTTAAGCTCGGTTGATCATACCTAATCAACCAGTTATCATTACCTCGATCAGTGTTTCGAATAATGTAATCTAACACAACAAGCCTTTCAAATTGAATTTGAAAACGGGATTGAAGATTTAATGGCAATGGAGCTAATTCAAGTCGCCTAAGCCAATATTCAGCATCTTTATAACCTTCCATGAATAATTGGAAGGATCCTATCTGAAAGTAATATTATACAAATTATTCAATTATTCAATTAAATTTAAATTTACTTTACATACTTTGGGCCTAAGACCAAGTCTATTAAATCGCCGTCCCAATTTAGGAAAATGATCGTTAATAGCATGTTTCATTCTAGTCTTCTCTCTGTCTATACGTCCATAGTTGAATGTCTCACTAACCAACTTTGCAACCTTAGTTTTTGGTACAATATTCAATCCAAGTTTAACTGATACAAGGCTAGCACCAGCTTCAGACAGGTATCCTTGATTAGGTATTAAACACGAACGGCCGAAACAACACGGGCAACAGTTTTTATGTAGCCATTTGATCCACTTTGGATTCAACAATCCATATGGTTCTTCATCTTTTGGTTTAAAAACACCAATAGTTTTCTAAAGTATAAAATAATTTGTTTTAATAGTTTTATAAGCTAAATTGACATTTTAAAATTTACTTTAAAATAAAGTATATATTTGTAAATAAAACTTACACAATTTGTATCTTTGACAAAATAGCTACCACTGGACCCTTGATAAATGCGTTCAGGGAAGACGCTATTATCTATAGCTAATTCTGATTGTTTAATAACATAACTAAATGCCGGATCATCTACAAAGAAATAAAATAACGAATGAACTTAAATTTAATTGCATATTCTTTATACATATTACTTATATAACAGATATAAAATTTACCATATTTTTCATAACAATCATAATCAACTATAGATATATCTTCGAACATCATGAGTTTAAAATACTATAAATTATAAAACAATATTAAATTGTCTAAATTTATCATGTGGCTTACTACTTCACTAAAAGTTACTAAAATAACTTTATACTCAAATACATATAATAATATAAACAACAATTTAAGTACTATCATTTATCAGAATTCATGATAATAATATGCAGTATCATCCGTTATTTTTACACAATATTGACACATTAAGTCGAGTACTTAATGCGGTTAAGTTTAGTCTAAGAGGTGTGGTATATAATTGAATGAATTTCTCATCATAATATAACCTATTATAAAATACTTAGATGTGATACTGCACACAAACATTATACAGCTTCAATCAATACCCAGTGGCAAACAGATATAAAAAATAACAATTGACCTTTAGTTATGAACTTTCAATATTAAATAACTGATTACAAAGCATAATTATTCTATATTAAATATATTTATAATATATACATAATGCTATAATATAATAAGTACCTTAGCTATATATTTTCAAATATTATCTTAGACGTTTTATAATAAGCATTGTACAATATATATATATATATATATATGTACAATTGATTAGAATAGTAAAATATTTTTAAAAAAAAGAATAAAACTGCATGTGGTTGATAAAATAAAATACTATTTCTAAGAAAAGCCAATATTTGTAATTTAAAATACTTTAGATATTGTCTAAAATAAAGTATAGTAGACTTTTATTAAACCAATACCCATTTCCAAATATTATTTAAACTTTCATTGATACCAATTTTTTACTGTTTCATCAAAAATAAAATAAATATTTTTAAATTGTACGTCATAGCATAGGCCCCAATTATAAAACATCAAAATTGTTTACATAATATCTACTCGAAATAAAAAATTTTATTAAGCTATTTATGCTTAACTGATAAAACTACAAATTTCCAACAGTTACTTTAAGTTAAAAAAAATAAAAAAATGTATAGTGCTTAATTGACATACCAATACCAATTCAGATAAAATAATATTGTATTATCTACACTTAAAAATAGTTATTCATTATTATTATTATTTCTACATTAAAATTGTTAGACAACATATTTTTAAGTCAGCCTTTAAGGAAAAACTCAAACGAATAGTTAGGTACCTATATAAAACATTTAATTTATGAAAAATATATACCACCATAAATGGTATATGCAATATTAGAATTCAACTTGCCATATGGCAATTATCCCTATAGTTTAAATACATACCTAGGTATAGACGTATAGTGCTGACTCATTGTAGCATAATACTCCTATACAATTTAATTTACAGTAATTTTGTTTAAATAGAAACTGCATCAAAAAATGTAATAATGCCAGGTACCTAATTTAATTACTATTGTCAATCAATCAAACTAAATAAATTTAAACTTATTACCTATTACACTAAGTATAACATTTTGTCATAGATATCCTATAATGACTATTTAGGCAATTAACATACGAAATTGATTATAGTAATTACCTAATACCTATATTAAATAAATTTGATTCTATTTTAAATTACGTTCAATAACAATTTATTAAGTTGTACAGATACTAAAAACATTTAGGTTTTATTGATTATTAATTATTATAGTTCGAAAAATTTCACAATGAAAATATTAATATTTTTAAATGTAGGTCTTAAGAATGATTACACAAACAATACAAGTTTGGAAAAACATAAATAGTAAAGATGTTTTATATTACTTTTTTAAATAATTATGTTATTAAGACTAATTAAACATCAATGAAATGGTATTAATTACATCATTTAATTAGCTATGAATGATTATAATTTAGCAAATTAATGTTAATTGTTAATTATAGATAATACCTACCTAGTTGTATAATGTATTTAGTCATTACTTATTACACATACCTACTATTAGAGGTTGTTTAATATTTTATATATTAGCTACCTAAATTAGTCTTGTTACTAATATCTTTTAATGCATATGTACATAATACATAGTATTATAATTAATAATGATACTGATATCAATGAGGCAAAAAACTAAATACCTACTTAGAAGTAATGTACTATTAGCAGATGTCTTTATATTATATTATTAAATATAATTTAAAATAAATCAATTTAGTTACCAGGAAAATGATTATAACCCGGAGCATGATCCATGCGTCCCAGTAATGGTTGATTTTCTCTATCTTTGGCGTCCAGATTGTCGCTTAAAGGCTGTTCGAACTCAATATCAGGGACGATTGGCTGGTAAATAGATGTAGTAGGTGACGGCTGTTGTAGTATACCGTTGGGTTGCAAACTATCCTCGTTCATTTAGACAGTCGGAAACAAAGACTCACCAACGCAAGGACACCTGGGAATTTGGTATTAGGCCCACGACGAACAAGGTTAGTCATAAATTCGATAATGATGTGATAAACTAGGCAGCCATATGAATTCAATGAACAGCATAGAAAATAGAAATTTCAAAAATTAATTGAAACTAAATGAAATTGAACGAAAATAATTATTGAAAATTGAAATCAAAAAGTTATAGTAATCGTAATTTGTAATAAGAATATATTATAATAATAATAATAAATTATTAATTCTTTTAAACCAAACACAGACACAGATGTTTTTTTGAAAATGAACTTGCATGATCAGTTGATCAGTTCAGTTTGCTTTACTAGTTTGCGTAGTGCTACTATCTCCGTCCTCCGACGTTGTCTGGCAGATAAATGATAATGACGGGAACAATAATTGATTGCGCATATTGTTCCATGAAACGACAACGTTGTAATTCTTTATGAAAAAATCAACAATAATTATTTAAATTGTAGTTACGTAATAAATCATAGTAATCATACTAAACTTAAGAGGAATAGTTAATAACCAAGCTAACCAAAATTGATCATTTGACTGTCAAAATGTTCAGAAAAAAACTTTACCAGAATCCATCAAAAGTATAGTGGTTGGTTACCATTTGAAAAAATAAAGTCGATTATATCATTGGTACAACCATAGTACAACCATGGAACAATGTACAACCACAGATTCTGTGGTACAACTGCGTGACACCAAAGAATTCTAGACTTATTCTAGAAATTCACAACGGTTTAGTGTTTACTGTTTAGTCTAGCGAATAAATGTCGCCCAAAGAAAACTTTTTGTCATCTACCTAGTGGATGATACATTTAATTACCTACTGAGTACTGGGCGACAACGATTTTTTGAAGAAATGTCCATGTTTAAAATTATTATAATATAATTATTACTTAATTGTATTTATTGATTATTTATTATGTTTAATTTTGTTATTTATTTATGACGTATATCATTTCGTTTGACAAACAATTATTGAGAAAAGAAAACCCATGAGACCGTCACTGTAATCCGTAGGTACCTATCCACAGAATAATACAATCTGTTCTATGATACAATGCATATAAGCAATTTATTCCACGCGGAACGTGACAATGCGACATGTTTCATCTGGTAGGCAAATATCTAAACATTGAATTTGATTTTGATTTTAGTCCTTGTTCCTACAAGCTATTAGTTAAAATTGCTAAATAAATAAATAATAAATTATTATGTTTTTATTTCACTTTGGACATTTAAACGGTTTAAACGTTCAAGGCTTCAAGGTTAGGTTAGGTTAGGTTAATACTTCATACGATATTACGACGACAGGATGACTTTCATCTTTCGGTAAGTTTTAACATAGTTAAGTTTTGGCCCAGTGATGGGAAAGTTCTTTCTAAAAATGAATTAGTTCAAGTTCAAGTTCAAGACATTAAATATGAACTAGTACAAATTCTAGTTCATAGTTTTTAGAATGAACTAGTTCAAGTTCTACTTCAGACTTCAGTAGTTCATATTTTTCAAATGATCAAAAATTATAAATAGTTAGTAAATAAAATAAAATAAAAAAAGGTGCTCTGTGCCTCTGCTGTACAGTAGGTTACAAGTGGGTCACTGTATAATGGATGGTATTAAATTTGAATTCAATGATATAGGTAATATCATTGTACCTATAACTGGGCTATAAGAAAAACGATTCTGAGCGGAGACGGTATGTTAGTCTAGGGATAAAACATATTATATATATATCTATGGTAATAAAAAAAAATTGACCTAGGTATAATAGGTACCTACAACCTACCTATAATAAATTCCAAATTAATCATATCACAACATCCATTAGGTACTTATAACCTGTTATACAGCAACAACAAACCCTGATACTGTCATAGATATATAATAGTACACTTTAGAAGTTTCAAGTACCCACGAATAATATTATACAATCACAACAAAATAACGAAAATAGTTATTCTATGTTTTTTAATATGTAATTTCGTCCAAATTTGAATTTAAAATGACTAAAAATAAACTGTGCTTGTGTATTTTTTTAGATTTTCTGGTAATAGAATTAACTACTTACATGGAATCTTGTTTTAAATATTTCAATCCTTAGATATAAAATTTGAACGGATAGATAAAACTTTATTGATATTTAAAGAAAAAAAAATAAAAAAATTGAAAACTATAAATGTCCATAAACATTAAACAGCTTAAAAAGAGTCAAAATATGGTATCGTTCTTGATGTATAAGTGTATCCTACAAAAAACATATATGTAAAATGAGAGCCAAGTTCAATACTATAATATATGCCTTAGTTGTTGACTTCAACGACAAAAGAAGTGAGATCTAAATGGGTGCCAAGTTAGGATAATATATTGAAGCCTAAGGTGTGACTTGGCTACTTTTCATATACGAATTATTATTATAAGTACCTACTAAAACAGTAATGGAAGAGTGAAGATGATTTTCCGAAGAATAAAATAAGAACTTAAAGCTTTAGAACTTGCAAATGCTATAATATATAATTCGTAGCCAAGTCAGATCTTAGGCTTCAATATATTATCCTAACTTGGCACCCATTTAGATCTCACTTCTTTTGTCGTTGAAGTCAACAACTAAGGCATATATTATAGTATTGAACTTGGCTCTCATTTTACATATATGTTTTTTGTAGGATATCATTACTTTTTGTATGTAAATTATTATAACCTAACCTAACCTAGCCATGACGCATTCTATAAATAAAGTTTATTACTATATAATATAATTCAGTTACTAATATTAATAATAATATTTATTATAAAATATTTTCCGTTTTATATACAGAGTATAAAATATATTATGTAAAATTAATATACAATTATTTTAACTCTTTTTGAGTATATTTTTAATTACATAATATCATAATTTTATTGACTGTAGTTTCTACTGTTGGGTGGATAATTCATAATTTGTAAGAATAATTATTTAATTATTTGAATTGTAATATTTAAAAAAATAATATTAATTACATACATAGATAGAAAAAAAAGTATGTTGCTGCGCACGGGTCGACAATATCGACACATATTCGGCTAGTCGTATTTTTGGAGCGGCGATACGGGAAAGGTTATTTAAGTCAACATTACATTACATTACATTAAACTAGAGGCAATTCATTAAAAAATTGAAAAATTAAACACAATAGATAAAATAATTGCAAAATTATAATAAAATCAATTGATTAAAAAATTAAAAATTAAAAAACTAAAAATTAAAAATTAAAAAATTTTAAATTAAAAATTTTCAAGTTTCTGATTTTTTCCTTTGTATTTACCTAACTACCTATCTGTATGCCAAATTTGAACTTTCTAGGTCATCTGGAACTGGGTTAGAATTTTGATCTATAGGTAAGTCAGTGATAAAAATGACGATTTTCGGACGTTAATATCTAAATAACGGTTTGAAGTGTGTTTATGAAATTTAGAGCACATATGTATCTCGTTAGTCTCAATATATGAGCCAAATTTGACATGTTTATGTGGAATAGTTTTTGAGTTATGAGGGGGTCAAAAGTGGCTCCAAATGGTTCGTGTAATATTACACACGGTGCTGCTAGCCAGTTCTGTTAGCTAGAACTTGGCTTGACACGCTACCGCGTGTCTAGATAACGCGTTATGAGTACCTAATGGATATTGTGATATGATTAATTTTTAATTTATTATATTTACCTATTACAGGTATACATTTTTTTAATAATAATAATAATAATAATAAATACTTTATTCAGCAATAATTGTTTGAAACAGAAGATATATACATATTTGTGATTAGATTGCTTCGCCCAACACTAAGGATAAGTTCCTTGTTTTGATGGGCGAGAGTCTCTAAGAGAATAAAAGAAAAATTAGTTAATTAAATGAACGAATATAATAGTAAAATAAATTATGAAGAATATAATGATAAATAACATTGCCGCTAGTAGTTATAGAAAACAAAACAAAAATTACTATATGAGCAAAAATAGGATAGTATATAACGAGGTATAATATAAAAATAAATAACTTTACAGTAGATAAAATACAGTCATATAGCTGGTTCATTGTCAATAACCATCTCTTTATAAGAAATTTAATACCCTACATATACCTATACGTATATATTACTAATATGTCTTATACCTAGACTGGCATAACGTCTCCTCTCGGAATCGTTTTTCTTACACAATGATATTATATCATTGAATTCAAATTTAATACCATATATTATACAGTGGCCCACTTGTAACCTACTGTACAGCAGAGCACCTTTTTATTTTTTTATTATGCAAATAAATTCATTTAATATTAAAAAAACTTCATTGAAGTTATACAGTGTGATCACGATATTAGGTATCACTGAATATCTCAGATGGGTGATTTTGTATTGAAATGGGGTTTTCGGGAGGTGACAGGGAGCACTTAAATACTGCATATTTTCAGACCAGTTTAAAATTTTTAGCTCACTCGGTACGCGCATGCACAGCACGACTTACTTTTTTTTAAATGGCAACCCCAGTTTTTTTAATGCAGATTCGGGTAGAGTATTTTTTTTTAAACATTTATTGTATACAAAGTTTTTTTCTATTTTCAAAACTGACCAAGTTAGAGTATCTAAGTCAAAAATTGGATTTATGCATAATATGATATTAATATGTGTTTAGTGCAATTTTCATTTATATCCACTGGAACTAATAAAATAAGTGCCAAATAAATGATTAATGGTGGATGGAGTGGCCGAGCGGACTAAGGCGTCGGTTGCGACGCGCACCGTTGCCGGTTCAAACTCGGCCACGGGCGACATTTTTCTTTTGGAAGTCACGGTGACAGGAGAGAGAGAGAGACCGTCATCCCAGACCCGGGCATGGCAGATACCTAGGGGTTCCCACTTAAAAATTCTGCCAAAACAAACACACACGTAGGTATCTTCCATGCCCAGACGCGGA